AAATATAGAATACATAACAGGCTATAGGCAGTGTGGAGGTGCTGTGACTTAGTACAGTGCCTCTGTGCTGGTTAGTTTCTGTCAACTGGACACAAAATAGAATCACCTGTCAAGAGGGAGCCTCAACTGAGGAATTGCCTCCATCAGGGTGGCCTGTGGGCATGTCTGTGGGCATTTTCTTGATTAATGGTTGAAGCAGAAGGGCGTAGCCCACTGTGGTTCCAGGTTATATAAGAATATAAGCTGAGTAAGCCATGTGTGCTAGGTAGTTTTATGTTGGCTTGACACGAGCTAGAGTCATTTGGGAAGAGGGAACCTTAACTGAGAAAATACTCCCACTAGATAGGTCTGTGGACGAGCTTATACTGCATTTCCTTGATTGGTGGTTGATGTGGGAGGGCCCAGCTCACTGTGGGCAGTGCCACTCTTGGGATGGTGGTCTTGGGTGTTATAAGAAGGCAGGTTGAGCAAGTTGTGAGGAACAAACCAGTAAGCTGCATGCCACCATAGACTCTGCTTCAGTTCTTCTACCTAGGTTCCTGCCCAGTTTGAGTCCCTGCTCTGACTTCCCTCAGTTATGGTGTATGACCTGAGAGTTGTAAGCTGAGACAGACCCTTTTCTCCTCAAGCTGCTTTTGGTCATGGTGTTTTGTTATTGCAATAAAAACCCTATTTAAGACATCATGGAAGCAAGCAGGCTACTAGGCAGCATTTCTCCACGGTCTGTTTCAGTTCCTGTATCCAGGTTCTTGCCTTAGCTTCCTTCAATGTTATAAGTTAAAAGATGAAATAAACCCTTCCTCCTCAGGTTGCTTTTGGTCGTGGTCACAGACCAGTAAGCAGTGTTTCTCCATGGTCTGTATTTCAGTTCCTGCATCCAGGTTCCTGCCCTGGGTTCCTTCAATGCTGCAAGCTTATAAGATGAAAATAAACCCTTTCCTTTCCTTTTCAAACTCATTTTGGTAAACATCTTACCACAATAATAAAAAAGCAAGTTAACACAGGTTCTTAATGATGTCACAGTCTACTAGACAGGAGACTCACACGAACTTTTGGATGATTAAGATGTGGCATCGAAAAAGTTTCTCACTACTCCCGAAGGAGCAAGAAAAGGTATTTATTTCCATGGAGGGTCTTGAAGACTCTTGTTTTTACAAGGCTTATCCGGATTGGAAGCAGATTGGATTGGAAAAATTCTCGTGGGATGGAAGACTAGGTATGGGAGTAAAAGGCTGGTTACTTTTATTTTATTTATCTGTAGTTTATTTATTTATTGCTAGGCTTCAGATTGAACACTGTAGGCACTTTAACCTTCAGAATCTAAAGGAAATCTTTCAAGTCTCTGTGATACCCAATGTAAAGAGTCGGAGGTGAAGTAGAATTCCAGAGTGATTCTGGCTAGCCTCAATGTTTAGTGGAATGAAGCTATTGTAGACATGAAGGGAGAGACAAAGGGTGCCCCACCTATTTTAGTTTTGAGAGTAAGAGGAAGGAGAGAGGGAGATCAGTATTGCATTTACAGGTTAACTTTCAGATATAATTTCTAAATATATATTAAGGAATATATTAGTAGCTAAGGTCTTTGGGATTTCTGAATGAATAGGTCATTATTATTAGTATCTACTTATAATATGTTACACACTCAAACTTGTAAAATTAGAGGGTATTTTATATAAAGTTGGGAAATGTAGTCTGAATATGTTAGGAAGCAAGTTTAAGATATTTTGCTACTCCTATTAATAGAGATATAATTAGGGAAGTGTGGAACTAATACTTGAATGAGTGAAGTAAGAAAAGTTTAAGAAAAAAATTCTTTGTGACAAATAATGAATTTCCTTACATTCTCTTGTTCTTATTTCTAGAATGTTCCTCGAATCAGTTTTCCTGTTGTCAACCAGATTTCCATGGTTTAGACGAAGTTTTCCCCCTCCATTCTTTGTATCTTTTGGGTTAAAGAGAGGTTACTGATTTTTTACTTTGCTTCTGTTCTTGTTACTCCAGTCCATCATTTGCAAGGTCACAATTATTCTAAAGGCCATTGTCATCTTACACCATCTGCCTAAACTCACCTACTGACTTTCTCTGACAATGTCTTTTTTCCTCTTTTCTTAAATTCTACTATTCACATTTTTCACAGCTGATTTGAACCTTAGATATTTGTACATATATGAATCTCCCTCTATTAAGATATGTGCCTTTTGAGGTCAGAGACACTCTGTATTTCCCGGCTCCTTGTACCATATCTTTCTCTAATTCAGTTTTTAAATAGATACTTGTGTGTTATGGTCTGGATTGAGTATTCCTTCTCCTACCCCTAGACGCATTCATATATTGAAGTCTTAAACCTAAGTGTATTTGGACACAGGTTCTTTATGGAGATAACTAAAGTCAACTGCAATCAAAAGGTAAGGCCCCTAATCCAATAGGAAGAAGAAGAAACCACTGGGAATGTGCAAAGGGGAAAGCTTCAAGGAAACAATGGAGGTGCTCTGCACCATGTACCAGCTGAGGAGAGAGACAATGTTGGAGACAGGTCCAGTTGATAGCTTGACCTTGGATTTTCTGACTCCAAAACAGAGAGTTTCTGTTCTTCAAATCACTTAGTCTGTCAGTTTTGCTGTGGGAGGCTGAACAGACTGAAACAAGGTTAAATTAAGTACACACAATAGTTGACTGTAGTAGCCATTTGTCATGCAAAGGCGTTATCAGTCCCTCTAGGCTGTTTGCCGTTCCAGGTTATCTCAAAGTTTGTGTCACAAAAATAGAGAAGCAAGACAATGTGTCTTCAGCTGGCGACTGGAGGCTAATATTAGGCCCATTGCAGCAAACATTCCATGAACATTCAGGGGCTTTAAAGAAATGTGCTCTAACAGGGACTCTTTATTACTCCTTTAATCCTGCATTTTCTATATGAACTGCTGAAATATGAAGGTGACTCAAGGGAAGCTGATGTGTTAAAGAAAAGAGCAAAATAATTATTGGGAATCTAAGAATGTGTCTATCTATGTCAGGACTCATACAGCTCTCTAGGTTCACTAATCAAGCCCGTGGCGTCCTGGTTTTGATTTATAATTACCCACTGGGGAGGGAATTTGGTTTGGACTTTGCTTAAACATTTCCGAGCACAAAAGTTCCTCAGATATGCACTGTTCCTTCCTCTATCTGATAACATGGAACACTTGAGGGCGGATGTTTCACATAATTCACTGCCTGGATCTACTGGATTGGCATTTTGTTCACTGCCTACCAGACCTGTCTTTAGAGGAGGCACTTCTGGCAATCTGGCCTTCTGTTGTTAATTTGGTTGCTGCTCTGTATTATTCTGGGAATGAAGACAGAAAGAAAACCAGAGAATAACAACGACCAGGCACACACATACATACTAGGGTAAGAGGTTTCATCAGTTCCTCTAGGCTGTTTGCCGTTCCAGGTTATCTCAAAGTTAATCCTCAGGCCCCAAATAGGCAAGAAGTTGCAAAGCCGAGCTCTATCTTTGCTTTCAATTTTGCTGCATATTTCATGTAATTAATTTCCTGCCCCTGGTCAGACTCAGATCCATGTTTATGATGTAACTGTCCTCTGCAGTGATGTTTGTGTTCTAACTCTTCTTTAGTATGAGGCCAGCGACTCTTTCCTTGTATGATTTATGAGTTTCTGAGCACTTTCCCATCTTCTGTCTCACTTGATTTACACATCGGCTGCATCAGGCTTTCAGCTACTGCAAGGGCAGTCATTGTTTTATTTAACTCATCACTTACTGCTGCATACCCCAGCACCCTTCACATTTATTCATCAATGACTCACTCAATGATTACATAGTTTACAGCTAGTGACTGAAGTAGGGATATACAGACATGGACACTCTATGTAGCTTTGGATAAAAGATCAGACATAACACATAGAGATGTTGGTATAACCATCGGAACTGTAGGGGACTTAAGTAATTAAGAATGATATGATTTTTACATTGGTGCTTTGGGTTTGCCTTAGAATTTTGTCATTTGATGAATTTGGCTTTGGCCTTTTTATCTTCTCTTACAACAACTGAATGCTATATATAATAACTCAAGTGACATGAGGGTGTTCAACTTCATATCAGTTAGAAATCTTAGATAATACAACTCCTACAATCATTTGTTGTATACAATTAAAAAGTTTAATCAAAAGTAAGAACAAATGGTAGATTGTTTTCAGAGTTATAAGTAAGGATGACATCATGAAATTCTATACCTTAATCCATTTTCATTTATTGGCTTATTGAAATTTGGCCCATATTGAAATCTGTTGAATTAAGAGCATTATGTATGTTCTAGCTGATCCTTGAAAGTGTGAACAATTTTCTATAAATTTTCATTTATCTGCAAGTAGAGAAATATAGAAATGGATAGAAAGTGTACTTTTATATTGTGAGTTTTATATTGTTTATTATTTAGTCTTATATTGAGTTAATTTTGTTGCTTTCTAAAATTGGAGCTCTATTCAAAAGCTTGTTATTGGTATTGAAACCATGAAAGTTTGATTTATTTTATCAACCATTCAATAAAATTTTGGTACAAAATTTGGTTTGTATCTAGGGAAAAAAATCTACCCCAAAGTTGATTGAATTCCATAAACTAATTAAAAACATTTAATATGATAGTAAACATGTCTATGGCAATTTATGAGAACTCCTATTATCTGAATTCCTTGCCTGTATTAAAAATGCCTATATGTTTTGACATTTGCATAAGCAATATTTGAATAAAGGATGCATAAAAGTGATGAATGTTATTGTATAACTTGATTTTTCACTGGATTATAGGGAAGTTGATGATACCATTAAAATGGCAACAACAGCTTAGTTTGCTTAGGAGACAACCTAAAGGGTGTGTGTATCTCCAATTAACACAAAGACAGAAGCTAGGAGTTTGTCTCTTGGGTGACAGTCAGCAGATGGCAGTGTGTAGCAAGGAATGGTGGGAGGCTGTCTACTGGCTCAGAGCCAGGGGATATCTAGCTCTCTGCTCTACACCAGTCACAGGAATGAAGATCTGGAAATGTGAAAATCTGCAGGAAATCTGGAAGAAGAACCTTTGCCAACCGAAGGTACTTGACAGACGAGACTGAATCCTGGCTGATTCAGAATGGGGCATTTGCTTATTGGGTTGTAGACATCTTGAAGGGGGACATATCTGCAGCTCTTTGTGGGGCTGGATGTGTGTCTATATTAGCTGTGCACATCTCCTTTCTCCACATTATCTCTTGCGGATGATCTCATTGACCCTGTGCCTCCATTTTCATCATAATAATGGCCCACGGATCTATTCTGCCTAGTCGGTGTGTCCTGTTTAGTGCATTTCATAGGTACCTTTTATTCTTCTAGTCTCTAAGTTAACTTTACAGTCTCATTCCCCAAGCATTTGCAGACTAACACCCCAAAGATCCTTAAAACCAGGAATCTGAGAGTCATTTTAAAAACTCCTCTCTCTTTTCCAGTCCTTCCACTGATAAAACGTGCGGCTATTCAATCCGAAGGCCTGTTCTTTCTCTACCTTTTAGTTTTACCCCAGTTTGCTTCCTAAAACACAATTCTACAAAGAATCTCTGAAATATTTGTTGTGAATCCATTCATTCCCTTCCTGCGGAATTCTCCACAATCACAGTCACTTCTACAAACGCCTATCAGGGGTGGGTGACATTGTGGCCTTACTCGGATCTCTGCCCATCTCTGCTCCACCTCCATAAATGAGTCTTCTAATTCTTGTTTTGTTCTTTTAAGTTTCAAAGCCTTGGAATATGATGTTACCACGATTTGTAATCACATTCCTTTTTCTTAAAAACAATTCTAAATATGATCTTATCTTTCAAACATCAATCTATCACTTGCTCATAGACTCTTACCTAGCTCAGGAGACTAGGTCAGGCTTTCTGTTTTCATCATTTGGTATTTCCCTTGTCTTGAAACACTGGCATGTGTAATCCCTTGTTCATTGTTTCCTACTAAATGGTAAGTGCCAAGCAGAAAGAGAGCCCATATGTCATATCCACCACAGTGCCTTTGGAGACAAGCACGCAGCTGGGGATATACTTGTTTATCAATGAGTATTTGTAGAATGGATGACTTTGTAAATGGGAATATTTATGAGGATTGAACAAATAACCTAGCAGACAGAGTTTAATTCTTTTTACTGGTGGCCATTGTGGTGGTACAAGAATGGTGTGGGAATGCCCTAAGGATAGAGTAGAAAAGGAGAATGTGGGTCATGGCAAAACATCTCTAACTATATTTCTCTTGGCATGTGTTCTGTGTCATGATCTCCTTGTAATGGTAGAGGAGTCTCACTCCAAACCCGGGAGCTGGGCAAAGGAGAGGACTCTTGAGAGTCAATGTGAAGTTGGCTCACTGATCTTACAAGTGTAAGTGAACTTTGTTAAACAGCAGCAACATGACAAATATAACTAATAGGGCTTGCACCAGTTATATAAAGAGAGAATAGTAATATAAAACAGTAGTCTTTCTTTTTATGCATGAATATAGGGAGGGAATTCAGTGTACTGCGAAAGTATAGAGTAGTCCCTTTCCAAAAGACATTCTATGGAAATTTAAACATTTAATGTCTGTATTAGCATCATGTTAGGCACTAGTGATATGTGGCATTTGAGCACTTAAACTATAGGAAATGCAAATTAGAAATTAATTTATAAATTTTGTTTAATTTTAATTATTTTATATTCAAATGTCAACTAATTTATACTTAAATTTAAAGTATTAAAGATCATGACTGGTGATCACTGTATTAGTTTGCCTTAGACAGAGAGGATATGGGTTTGCTCAAATGGAAATGGCTGAACACATCAAATCTTCCCTGGTGCAGTGCCTAGCATTGCAAAGAACCTGATTAATGCATCCGACGTGCTTTATTTTTAGTGATGCTCCTTTTTCAATAAGCATGTAAAATAAAATCTTTCTGGAGAAGAGGTAAGATGTAGACTTTTTGAATAGCAAAATATAAGGGCCTAGTTTATAAACCTGCCTTTCTCTTATTCTTGGAGTGTACTATCTTTTTTTTTTTTTAATTCAATAGAGTGGCTTTTGCTTCCTATCAGATAAAAGGAGATGTCTCAACCTATTCTAAATGCCACTTTCTTTTCAGAAAGCAGTCAGCTAGAATACCGTCTTGTCTCATGGTATATTAAAAAGTAGGTCCTCAAACAAAGAGGTAGATATGTTATTTAGAGAATTCTGGTGGAATCATTTGATGCTTACATGACATTTCATGACATGAAAGTATTCTAAAAATTAGCTCACGTTTTTTACACATGTTCATAGTCAATAGTTAGGATAGTGCTTTCATTCCAGTGTTTTTTCTGTGAGTAGGGTATGGAATGTACATAGTACTTTCTTTCTGTGTGAATACCACATACAGGAAATCCATGCCTGTGTTTTTACAGCATATGAGATGTGTGTAGGGCATCACAGTGATGGAGGGAGGTTGGTCCTGAGAATGAACTGGGCTGTGATGACAGAATCAGCTCTTCTGAGATCTGAGAAGATCCTCACAACTATAACTCATTTGTCATTTTTTCAGCTGGAAGCTCTGCTTGGTGCTCACGTGGTCTGGGACAACACTTCCCAAAATTTAACGTGCCTAGGAATCACTTCTGCATCTTACCTTGCTGATTCTAATTCTGCAGATCTGTATTTAGGACTAAGACCCTGCATTCTAAGAATCTCTTGAGAAATGTTAATGTTGCTGGACTTCACATTGAGTAGCAAGATGCTTACGCATGAATTTGATTTTAGTTAGTTTTACTTTGAGAAATCTGCCTCCATCACTACAAAATTTATTCCTAAATCCTGTCAGCTGTAACACTGTGCTATCAGTTCAGCTGAAAGTGTATGGAAACACAGATTCAGATTCTTTACTAGGGCTAGGAAAACAGCTCAATACAAGCTGATAAGATGTTGGTGGCCTGGTGTTTACATTATCAGTGGGACATGGTAACAGATGGGAGTAACATGCTCATAGCAGAGAACTGTAGAATTTATTAACTCATGCCAGGGGCAGGAGCAGTGGAATAACTCTGGTCTTGGAACAAGGAGGTTGTCCTGTGAATTTAACATGTCTTTAACTTACTATGCAGGAAGGGATTTAGTGTTTTGGAACCTCAGGTTTTTACTTTTCAAATACAAGTTGTGGTCTCTGTGAAAGGGTAAACTCCCTTTCCTTTACTTCCTGACACAGGTTTGTGTGGTGCCATGTGTGCATTGGACTTTAGGCTACTGAATAGCAGCCACAACCACAGTCTGTGTTTCTAGTAAGAGAAGTGAATGCATAGTGGAAAATCAGATCAATAAAAAATAACAGAAATTCCAGGGAGAGTGGGGTTAGGAAGAGGGTGGAATAGGAATATTTAACACTTGTCTTCTCTTAGAAACATTAACTGAACAACTATCAATGCATAAAACATGCTCACAACAGAAGGATTCTAGGTGAGAGATTATGACACCTGAATGAAGAACAGAAACCAAGAAACATATACTAAAGAGTCACCGAAGCAGATAGAAAGAACACATTCAGCTTTTCCTCTGTATCCATCCTTCATCCCCAGCAGCAAAGCACAAAGAAAGATGTTCCATGTGTAGTGGAAAAAAATGTGAAGTAAGCATTAGCCTTGATCATGAATCTAGAACTAAGCCAGTCTAAGTCAACTATGGCCCCTGTGGACATAGGTTCTATATCTAGCTCAGCACCAGAATGATCTCCATGGTCCTAACCATTAGGCCCATTGTGAACCTGGGTGTCTTAGTCAGGGTTTCTCTTGCTGTGAAGAGACACTTTGACCAGGGCAACTCTTATAAAGGAAAGCATTTAACTGGGGCTGGTTTACAGTTTCAGAGGTTCAGTCCTTTATCATCACTGTGGGAAGCAAGGCAGCTCTCCAGACATGGTGCTGGAGAAGGAGCTGAGGGTTCTACATCTTGATCTGAGGCAACAGGAAATGAACTGTGTATTACATTGAACATAGCTTGAGCATAGGAGACCCCAAAGCTTACCCCTCTCCCCCTATGGTGACACACTTCCTCCAACAAGGCCATACCTATTCCAACAAAGCCACACCTCCTAATAGTGCCACTCCCTATAGAGGGTGTATTTTCTTTTAAACTACCATGTGTTATAGTTTGGACATTGAAAATTCCTCAAAGCCCACTGTGTTGAAGGCTTCTTCCTCAAAGGAAGAACTTGAAGGGGTCTTTTCAAGTTTCAAGTCACTGGGGTGTGGGAACCAAAATCCTTCCTCATCTTCTTTCCATTTTTCACTTTACAGCTATGAATGAAGTCATGGCGAGACAGTTGTGTAGCTTGATCTGCTTGGGAGGTCCCCTGGCAGTAAGATCAGAATCCATCTCTGGTGCATGAGCAGGCTTTGTGGAGCCCACTACCTATGATGGGACACCTCATGCAGTCTTGAGGCAGGGGGAAGGGCTTGGACTTGCCTCTACTGAATGTGCCTCCCCATGGGAGGCCTTGCCTTCTTGTGGGTGGGAGAGGGGGGTGGTTTGAGAAGGGGAGGCTGGGGGAGGGGAGGAGGAGGGAAGAGACGGATCTTTGATTGGTGTGTAAAATGAATGAAAACATTTTCTTAATAAAAAAAAGGGGAAAAAAAGAAGTCAAGCTCTTAGAAATAGTAGAATGGTAGTTTCCAAGGGCCAGGAACTTAAGAGAAATGTAGAGGTGTTGAAAGCTGTTAGATTTCAGTTATAAAGGATGAATAAATTCTGGACACAGGCTGCAGTTAATGATATTGTATTGTGTACTTGCAAGTTACTAAGTAGATCACAAATGTTTTCAACAGTCACGCACATTGTATTCTATATCTCACACATAGTATTTGCCAGTTTTATTTCAGCAAAGCTAAAAATGTGGTAATGCTAAGCTTTCCTTCCAGAGTTTTATAGATGATACACTTAAAAATTTTCAGTTTTTTTTTCATCAGCATATGGACAGCTGGCAAAGTGCCAAGTACAAGGTACTTAAGTTCCTGATAATAGTAGTAATGAGAGTAGAAAGGATACTGTGATCATAGCCCAGAGATAGGCATATAGTAGTTGCATAATAAACAGGAGTTAGGAGAGTGAATGAATCAGAAGCACGTTGGCTTTTGTGCCGACTAGTTTTATATTAACTTGGCACAGCTGTAGTCATCAAAGAGGAGGGAACCTCAACCGAGAAAATGCCTCCATACAATTTGGCTGTAGGGCACTTTCTTAATTAGTGATTGATGGGGGAGGGACCAACCCATGGTGGGTTCTACAAGAAAGCAGGCCGAGCAAGCCATGGGGAGCATGGCAGTAAGCAGCACCCTTCCATGGCCTCTGCGTCAGCCCCTGCCTCCAGGTTCCCGTTCTACTTGAGTTCCTGCCCTCACTGCTTTTTTTGATGAATTATGTGGAACTGTAGGTAAAATAAACCCTCTCCTCCCCAAGTTGCCTTTAGTCATGATATTTCATCACAGCAGTAGTAACTCTGAGACAGCTTTAAAGTCACTGCAGACTCCTTGCTTCCTTCTGAGAAGTGCCCTACCAGCTGGGAAGATGCTCCATCCTCTGGTTTCACAGAAGTCCCATGGCAACACGTCTGTTGCCGGTGTCCTCTTCTTGCTCGTCTCAACACTCAGGAATTTTATGAAATGCCCCCTAGTATTTAGCAAACTGATGAGAAGGAAGTGTATCTTCACAGCTGTGCTTAGTCTATCCTTTTCTAAACGGTTAATAGTTTTTTCTTCAGTTATTGGTATGGTCTTGTGCATTTATGACGTTTGACTCTAACTTTCCAGATAATAATTTTCCAGATAATCCCACCATGTCTTATACAGTAAGACAACCAAAGAAGTAAAATATCAGGCGACGTGAATTTATCCACATAAATATGAACACCTGGTCAGTCCACAGGTTTGGATGTTTACACAGAGCTCACTGGAAAACAGAGTGATCAACGAGGCCCGAGTGTGAACTGTCCAGAGCCTGCCTGTTTTCAGTTTTTAAAAACAAACATAAAAGTTTGGTAATTTCCATAAGAACCTCTTTCTACTATATATTATTTTTCTCTCTTTCCACTGGAACAAGATGGTTATTTTGGCAACTGATGCATGAATAATTTAGGAAAAAATGTTTTATCCTTCAAAACGATGCTCCATTTTTCTTTTATCATCTGTCTCTGCATTGGCCTTGTTACAACTACAATAGGTGCTCTGTATTTGAAGTAGCTACTAGATTCTAGCCAATGCCATTCTTTGGTCAATTTCTTAGTTAATACAAAATCAACTCATCCTGATTGGTTTTTAGGAACGGTTTCCTCTTAAAGACAAAAACCTTAAACGTACAGACCCCTTTTCTTTAAAAAAGTCAGCAGCTCACTCTTTTCTCACCACATGATTTAATTACATTATCTACTTAAGACCTGCTACTCAACCTCCCCCCATGCAGGCCCCTTCATTGTCTTTTTGGTCTAGAATCACCACTCTAGAAGCTTAACTGTGGGGCAAGGCTGTATTTAACCAGCTTTACCTGCCATTGTGAGTTGACACCAGGTTGGTGTGGTGATTTAAATAAGAATGGCCCCATAGTTTCATATATTTGAATGCTTGGTCACCAGGAAGTAGAAACTCTTTGATAGGATTAGGAGGAGGTGTGGCCTTGTTGGAGAAAGTGTGTCACTGGGGGTGGGCTTTGAGGTTTCAAAAAAAAAACCATGCTGGGTTCTCTCCCTCTCCCTCTCCCTGTCCCCTCCCCCTCTCCCTCCCCGTTCCCCTTCCCCTCCCCCTCTCCCTCCCCCTTCCCCTTCCCCTCCTCCTCCCCCTTCCTCTCCCTCCTCCCCCACCCAGGTCAGGATGTTCCTCTCAGCTGCTTGTTCCAGTGCCTTCCTGCCTGCTGCCATACTTCCCACCATGATGATGATGGACTAAACCTCTGAAACTGTAAGCTAGCCCCCAATTAAATGATTAAATGTTTTCTTTTTCAAGAGTTGCTGTGGTCATAGTGTCTCTTCACAGCAACAGAACGGTAGCTAAGACAGCTATTTTATACTTCCCTCTTCTCTGAGTTGCCTAAATAGAAACTGAGAATTGGGCCGGGCGGTGGTGGCACATGCCTTTAATCCCAGCACTTGGGAGGCAGAGCCAGGCGGATCTCTGTGAGTTTGAGGCCAGCCTGGGCTACTAAGTGAGTTCCAGGACAGGCGCAAAGCTACACAGAGAAACCCTGTCTCGAAAAACCAAAAAAAAAAAAAAAAAAAAAAGAAAGAAACTGAGACTTGATTCTTTCTAATTCTTCTCCTTTAACTGACACATTAAATTTATTTTCTCAACCCTCAGACAGTGCTCAAACCTCCACAGGAATGGTCTCTACCAACTTTCCATTCTCTATACTGTGAATAGATTAGCCCTTTACAACAAATGTGGATTTATATCCTTTACAGTAAGATCTCCTGTGTGTTCCAAGAGGCCTGCATGAAGGAATCCATGCTTGTGAGGATGGATGACAGTTTTGTTGTGTTGTTTCTATGAGAAATGACTAAGAAAACAACTTATTAGAGGAAATATTTATTTTTTGGTTTGTGGGTCAGATTTATTCTCTGTAGTCCCTTGATGCTGTTGCTTCTGGGACCATATATAACTGAGGGAGAACATCATTGTAGAGAATAGGTGGTAGAGAAGAAGGATGCACTTCATGGTGGATGGGAGGCAGAGAGAGAGGGAGAGGGAGAGGGAGAGGAGAGAGAGGAGAGGGAGAGGGAGAGGGAGAGGAGAGGGAGAGGGAGAGGAGAGGGGGAGGGGGAGGAAGAGAGAGAGAGAGAGAGAGAGAGAGAGAGAGAGAGAGAGAGAGAGAGAGAGAGAGAAGCACAAGATGCATCTTTGAAAGGCATGCATCCAGTGATTCACTTGCTCCAAATAAGTCCGACCTTCTAATCACCCATTCAGCTTTGATCCCATCAATGGATTAAATTGATGAAGTCAGAAACCTCGTCATCCAGTCACCTTTCCGTAGGGCCACCAACAGGGAAATGATTCTTAAACACATAAGCCTGTGGAAGGCACTTCCTATCCAAACCACAGACAGCATTGTACCTCTGAGTCTCAAGGCTTGATTCCTAATTCCTTTATATTTTTTTATGAGGCCATAAAAATAAAGATTGGAACAAAGCCATAAACAAAGACTGAAACTCAGCAGGCAAACATTAAAGCCTATAGCTCCATTTCCAGCATCTGGGCCTTTTCATGGGCTGGGTTTGCTTGGTGTCTATGGCTTTCCTTGGCAAATGCTCCACATTCCTGGCATCTCAAATTTCCTGGAGTCTCCATTGCAACGACTTTACTTTCATAACTTTATGCAGGACTTGGAAGCCACTCAACAGGATATTGACCCTGCCACCTACGACGTTGTCTTGTGAGTCTTCCTGTAAAATCTGGATGGAAGCTACTGTGACCTTACATCTCTTGCATTCTGTATCCCTACAAATACTATCATTGTGTGGATGATTGCTGCTTGTTTGAAAAGTCGCTATATCCCTGTAGATCATGGCTTCAAGGATCCCTAAAAGCTTTGAAGGATGGCTGAATGAGGACGAGATAGCTTTCAAAGTGTTCATGGCAAGCAGGGTTAGAGTTTCCTTCTCAAAGCAAGTTTTTCAAATGAGTTTACATATTTATATTCGTCAACCTGCAGTGAATAGGAACTGGCCAATTTCCATGACTCCCCCAAAGCTTTTTCTTATTTTTTATTTTCATTTTTTGTTTTTTTCAAGACAGGATTTCTCTATGTAGCCCTGGCTGCCCTGCCACTCACAGAATCTGCCTTTCTCTGCCTCCTGGGTTCTAGGATTAAAGGCATGAGCCACCACCACCTGGCACACTTTACTCTAGTCCCAGTGTGAAACATTGAACTTCATTTAGAGTTATGATGATGGTGATGATGTTGATGATGTGTATTAGTGTTTTGTCTGCATGTATGTCTGTGCACCATGAGTGTGCAGTGCCCATGGAGGCCAGAAGAGGGCGTCAGATTCCTTGGAATTGGAATTACAGACCATTGTGAACCACCATCTGAGTGCTGGGAAATGAACCCAGGCACTCTGCACGGGAAACCTGTGTTCTTAACTGCTGGGCATCCCTCCAACCCCCTTAACTTCTGTTTAAAGACAGCAATCTCTTCAGCAGCCACACTTTGCTAGGCACCTAATTGGCTCCCTTTCTGGCCAAACTGAATTTTTCAAATTGTCCTGTTCTGCTGTTTTCTCCCAGTTCTTACTGTGAGTGTGGCTAACAACAGCCAGCTGTACCTATGCCGTGGACTCAATGCTGGAATGCTTCGAAATTTCCTTATTAGTCTGTCACTTTAAAATTTTCCTTTTGAGAATATAACAGAATTACATTTCTTCCTTCCCTTTCCTCCTTTCAAACCTTCCCATATACCCCTTCCCACTCTCCTTTGAATGCATGGCCTCTTTATTCACTAACTGTTATTACGTGCATATGTGTACACACACACACATACACACAAATTTCTAAATATAACCTGTTCAGTCTGTGTAATGTTACTTGTATGTATGTTCTCAGGGCTGACCATTTGGACTCAACAAGCGATTGGAAGACCATTTTAAACTCAGCTTTCCCATGAAGGCAGGGCACAGAGAAGTACACACACACACATACACACATATTTCTAAATATAACCTGTTCAGTCTGTGTAATGTTACTTGTATGTATGTTCTCAGGGCTGACCATTTGGACTCAACAAGCGATTGGAAGACCATTTTAAACAGCTTTCCCATGAAGGCAGGGCACAGGGAAGACATACATAAGCTCGTTGGCAGAGTGGTCTGTAGACTCATCCCCATTAGAGTCCTCATTTCCATCTCTAACTTCAGCATGGTCTTTACTATGGAAGTTCCTTTTGGCAACAAGGTCTGCTGAGCTCCCACCAGAAACATCCACTGAGCTCTCATCGCGATAGTCTCCAGTTCTCTTTGTAGACAGCTTCTCCAAGTGTTTCAAATGCTCTGAATCACATGGTCAGACGTAGTCAGCCGCAGAAACTCTTTCGGGTGGTTAGTTTCCTCCATATGAGAAAATACCTGGAAAATCTATTTCAGCTGGTGGTTTCAGAGCCTAAAACCCACAGTCACGTGGATCCACGTGGAGCTTCTGGGCTCAGGCACAGCATCGTGGGATGGAGCGTGTGAAGCAATTGGCTTACTTCCTGGTGGACAACAGACATAGTGCAGCAGAAATGAGACAGACACAAAATATGTCCTTCACAGCCTTGTCTCCAATGACCAGCTTCGTCTAAATAGACTCCACCTCCTAATAGTTGGTTCAGCTATAAATCCATTATTCATTGATGAAGATATAATGTTTCTGATTCAATCACAGTTGGGTACCAAACATTCAACATATGGGTCCTCTTTAGGAAGTATCTCAGGCTATAATTGCTCTGAGCCAAGTCAAAGTTTTCTAATATATGCCCCTCTCTCCTAGGGCTGGAGACTCATCTCAGAGCTTCATGCATACTAAACCACTGAGCTATACCTTTAGCCCTATCATGCATTTTCAATGCTATTTCTTAAAGTGACTGTGTGTGTGTGTGTGTGTGTGTGTGTGTGTGTGTGTGTGTGTGTGTGTGTGTTTGAACATGGTCCAAGAATAGATTTGTGTGTCGAGATTTCTGACTGCTTGTTAGAAAACGTCAAGAAAATAAGACATGAGTCTTGTGACCTCAGTTTCTTCCAAACACAGAATTGTTCTTGGAATGTGTTTTCATGCTTCTCCCAGATGCAGTGGATAGAACTGAGTTTACTTCAGCTGTTGTTATTCATATGCTTCCATGGACAAACATGATTTTGTCATGTGTGGCTTGTCTTTGTGATTGAAAACCTTACTCATGTGATTCTCCTTAACCTTCAGAATATAAATTGCCTGTTGCTCTGAATAAAGTTGGCTATTGTATAAGACTTCAGACTGCCTTATTTTTAGGTCCCACTCTTCCAGATTTATGTCTCCAACTAGAGCAGTAAGGTGTGTGTGTGTGTGTGTGTGTGTGTGTGTGTGTGTGTGTGTGTGTGTGTATGTGTGTGTGTGTGTGTGTGTGAGAGAGAGAGAGAGAGAGAGAGAGAGAGAGAGAGAGAGAGAGAGAGAGAGAGAGAGAGAGAGAGATTCTTGTAGGCCTTTCAAGATTTATTTCATAGACTATACTATTTATGGAACTGGCTATCACTCTCTTTCTGTCCATATTTCTCAATGTAGTTACTTTTCTATAACTAAGGGACCATGTACATGTTTTTAAAACACTTCTCAGTAAATTTAATTTATAAATACTTGCATCTGTTTTCTTCAAGAATTTAAAATCTTTGAAGGTACTGGTTAGTTTTGTTCGTCTGTAAATCTCTGAGTAGCGTTTAGTAAAGTGACGTATAGTTTGTGAAATTTGCTTTGCTCAGTGCTGTGCTTGCCTTTAACATGCCAGGCAAAGATTGTCATCTCTGTATTATTGAATGAGGCAAGCATTTTTTCCTCTAAAGTCTCAAGAAGACCACTCAGTAGCCTGAGGAGGAAGGGGTGATAGGCGGTGCTGAAAAATTGATCTTAGCTCTAGAAACACAGCAGCTCTCTCCCCTACCCTGAAGTTATCTGGGTGTCTTTCACTACATTCATCTGCATTCTTCTTGGGGGCAGCACCATGTATCTTTTATCTCGTATCCTTAGACCCTAGTTGTATTAATGTTATGGTTTGAATGTGAATCATCCCCCAAGAAAGATTTGTGGTGAAGGTTCAGTCTCCAAGGAATGGTGTCATTATGAGTTGATTAAATCACAAGGGCGTAACTTCATCACTGACGTAATCCATTGATGAGTGCACAATGAACTGCCCATTAGGAGGTGGAGACTGGCTGGAGGAAGCATTTCACTGTGGGATGCTCTTT